GGTAAGTGCACTACACATGGTAATAATTTTTAGCACTTTTTGTATTTGCAGCCTAATTCGTTATTGAATTTGCATGTTAGTGTTGGTCAGGAGAAATGGGACTTATAGAGGTACACGGAGGCAAGTGAAACTGCTTGCCTTTCTCTAATTATTTCAACCGTTCCAGCGATCGACTCACGCATTTGTATTGTCGGCATAGTAACTCCGATGTACCATGGCTGAAGGTCTTAAGAACATGCTTTTAGCTATGGGAATTACTGCAACAATAAACGGTTATGTGCATTTCTTTTCACACGCAGATGCACCTTTCCACTATTTTGCCAATCAAAACTCAAAGGCCGCAATAGCGAAGCATCCTACAACAACCCCTCTGTCTACACAATGATCAGTTTTAACAACTACAACATGATTAATAGACATTTTGGCAACAAATTCAATGAGGAGGCCTATTTGGACTGGTTTTATCAACGGATAAGGTGCAGGGAACTAATGAAATTCGATTTGGGTATTTGGATAAAATTTGCTTGCTAAAATGTTTTCTGTATTTCAAAATGACATTATGAAATTGACTTTTTGGAAAGTCGTTTTCTGTGTGACTATTCCATGCAAAATCGTCTACTGCTTCAGTGGAGTTAAGAGGTTCTTTTAAATAGAAATAAAGTGAATGCCAGTAAATGGAATTTTGATTGATGGACGGAAAAATGATTTGTTTGAAGGGCTGAAGTGGATGCCACCCTGATCGTAATGCTCGCAGCGGTACATGTCAACTGCAACAGATAACATGCACTAGTCGACAGGTTCAGAAACCGTTAGTGATGGTAAAGACAATGGTGGATGTGTTGTGTGATGGTGGTGAATGACCCACTCGCTTATTAAGGCGTTGATGGCCAGACACTCAGTTAACTAAGGTCTATTGGCAATGGAAGCCACAGCAAATTTAAAAGCATAAGGAGCATTTACTGATTTCAAGCCCGGTTACAGGCTGAAGTAGTGGAACTTTTGTACTACATTTCCCTGCCCTATGAACTGCAGAAGTCGTAACAACAAAAAGGGGCAAAGGAAAGCTATTTCAACAAATCTGCTCAAAACGCATCAGCACGTTGAATGTGTGCAAGAAGCCTGCTAATGAGAAAGAGGAAAGAAGCATTTAGTAAAGCCGTCAAATCTTATTCTATTTTGTGGTATTTAAGAGAACGATTAAAATGGAAATTACAACGGTTTCATATTTTAAGGCTACTCAGAAAGCAGAGCAATTATCTTATCCTGCTGAGGGTAAGTCCATGGACTAGATTTCGACAAATTGTCTATGCTAATCACAATAGCTAGATGTAAATATCAATGTCTGCTTTGCTTTTAGCCTTTCATTGCATGTTAAATAGAGCAATGGTCCAATTAAAGGTAATCTGAGCAAGCGCACTTGCTGAATTAACTGCCACCTCATTGTTTTCACACTCTAGTATGCTTGTCATCAGTCAGAAGGGAGAAAAACAACGAAAGTAGGGATAAGGTTATAAGAAGGATGAATGGTAGTCACAGCACAACTGCCTCCATCCTCCTCACCAATGTGAATGCATTGTCGTCCACTGGATTTGCTGGCGATGCACTTTTCTATTACTTTTATCTGGACGCCCTTCGTGTTTTTCAATGCGACATCAGCTTGACTAATGCAAAATATATTCGCATATTTATACAAAGATTTGTATCCTAAAAGCCTAAAAATGGTCTGTGCAAACATCAGATGAATTACGCTCTGAATGCAGGGGAAAATGACTGCTGGAGTGATGGGATCGAAAACCACTACAGACGGTGTCATCACTGACAGTGGAATTGCTGCTTGGCGTTTTGCCACCACCAACCTTACGTCATCTTCTCGTTCACCAGGAATAGGAGGACTGTGGTGGTTGTGGG